GTTTAGGGCTCTTGTACATAGGTTCACTATGAGTTGCATGGGAGTTGATGGCACATAACAACAAACAACAACAATAACATATACATTCTCCCCATTCTTACATTATTTCATCATAGAAGTTACAAAACCCATCAAAGTGTTTAAATGCACTGTTGTTTTTCTCACTGAATACACTCTACATATTTTGCGGAAGATACTTTTTACGTTTTATCCTGTACTATCTCATAGAATGCTCATTAGCTGGGATCCTAAGGTATGATAAACAATAATTTTAAAATTGTATAGCCACTTTGAAAATTAGTTTTGGCAACATTACACAGTGTTTAACACATAGTATCCATACAGATTGGCAATCTCACTCCTAGGAGTCTTACCAAAATAATAAAACATATGAGTACACAGCAACTTGTACACATGTTCATAGCAGCATTATCCTGATGTCCAAGAAGTGGAAACAATTCAAATATGACCATAAACCAGACATGCTAAAGTTCATACTATTATATTATTCACAAATGAAAAGGAATAACAACACATGCTATAACATGGATTATCTTTGAAAATATTATTCTAAATTAAAGAAGACAGATGCAGATTGCCACATATTGTGATACTTTTTACATGAAAAGTCCAGGAAAAATCAAATCCACAGAAACAGATGGTATATCAGTAGTTGCTAGACTCTGCAGGGCCAGGAAAGAGTGTTACTGACTGCTCCTGAGTACATAGTTTCTTTGTGTTGTGTTCTGGAATTATGACAGCGCACAATTCCATAAACTACTCGGTCACATATTTTTAAAGAGTGATTTTTTTGGTACACGTTTTATGTTTAAATAAAGCTATTATAATAAAAATGAACATGGTGATAACAATTCTGTATCCATACTTGAATTTGAAATGGGTTTATTCTTTGATACAACTCTGTTTATCTAATATTTCCTAATTCTCCACGTTAACAGATTATACTGTTATTCAAGTGATTAAACACTGAGTGATGATTTAAAACTAATCACTTAATCTTATAAATGATAAATTAAGGCCCTGAAAAGAAAAATGACTTAAACAAGGCTAAAAAATTAGTAAAGTGGGATGATCCCTCCTCAATATAAAGATTCACCTCTGGAGGTTTTTGTTGTTGTTGTTGTTGAACAATTGCTCCCATGAAGCAATTGGTGGATTTGAACTATCTGCCTTCAGGTTGGCAGTATAACTCTTTATCTAGTAGGCCACAGGAAAACATATGTTAAAAGAAGATATTAAGCCTATTTATCATTCACTGTCAGTACAATGACAATTAGTGGATTTGGGAGAAATGCAGAAGAAAGCTAACAAGAGAAATAACTGTAATCTGCTTCCATCAATACGAAAAGACAATTATTAGTACTTAACCCTTTTACACTAAAGATAACATAAGAACTCACAAAAATATTTAAAGAGAAAAATGTATAATACTCCTTTTCCTGGGGAGATGAAAAGTAATTAGATGTTTAGCAAAGATGCTACATATGTAGAAAGTTGTCCCCAGTACTTCAGAGATGTAAAAAAATTTACAGAATAATGTCTACTGGAATACATCAGCTTCCCCTTAAGCCCCAACTTTTGTGGACTTTGTCATAGTCATTAGCAGATGGAACAATAAGCAATTTTTGTAGTATGTATTTCCCGGGGATGTTTCTGTAGTAGTAATGCATTTTCTTTAAAGTTCATAATTTTTTTCCCCCTTCATTAAGCAGCAAGCTTTAAACAGGGGTATTTTTCATTTGGTCTTCACAAGAAAACACATTAAGTTTCACCAACAATATAATATAAAAAACAATGCTGATCTTCAAAAGCTATTTTTATAATGCTTCATCATATAAGTTAAAGCCAGGATTTCCCATCTAGTATGATTCAGCATTTCCCAACTGGTGTCCATGTGTAAGTGAAGATAGCATCTGGAAATGTTCGCTAGGAAATTCTGGTTCATTAAATAAATATTTGGTAGAAACCACCTATATTCCAAATTCTGTAATAAATACTAGACATAAACAGGATTACTAATAGCATGCAATTGTGTACTATTAGTATGGTTCATTCATTTCCTACTTTACATTACTACATAAATAATTTACATTATTATAGTTCACGAATTTCCTACTTTCATTTAATACTGGTAAACATTAAGCAACTTATTTCTTTATATCTCAAAGCCTCACAGGTGTTTGTCTGTGTTTTTGTCTCTCTGTGTAGGAAGTGAAAGCCAATTTGATCAGCCAACAGATTTTGATTGATTGCTTACTACAAAGAGATCTCCTATAATATTTTATTTCTCTTTCTGGGTCAATCTGTCCTTTACTCTAAAACAAGGATATGCTATCTTGGGCTATATTGTACCAATGAAAATTCCAAAGAGCTAAAATTATTAATTTTTAGTCTCAACAAGTTTACTAACAAAGACTCTGATTCTGGTTGTGCCAGAAAATAAAGTACAAGAAGAAAGTCACATAAAAATTCTCAATATTCACAAATTAGTTATTCAGGTTATAGATTATCTATGGACACAGTTATTTATAGCTAATTATTATGCATTTTTTTGTCCCCTAGGTGGCTCTTCCAGAGAAGAGGGAGGAATAAATGGCTGTATGCACTTTTAAAAACAGCTATTTTTTACCCAGTGAAGAATATAAACAGCCTTTTCTGAAGGCGAGGAGAAGTAAAAAATACCAGTTAAAACTCTTGGGAAATTCATTTCAGTATAGTATATATTTTTACTCATTACCAAGTAGAAGGAATTAATATGAACTAAACATTACCTGTACAAAATAATCAGTCAAGCACAAGAAAGAAAAATTACACAATGGTTAAAGCAGAATAATATCTCTAGAGAAACCTATTCTTTGATTTTTCGGTAGTAAAACAAAAAGATAGACAAATGTAATAGACAAACTTTGTCACAATCAAATTAGCGCTCTGAATTTCAGGAAATGTTCCTCTGTAATAAAAAAAGACCTGCCTATGATAATTCATTATTTGAAATTATGAACCTATTCAGGTCTCATTATTCCTTTAAAACCACCTGCTTTAAAGAAAAAAGAATACAAATATTGATCACATCAAATGTTTTCATTGAGATTTGACATGGACAACTCATAGTTGATCATGGATGGCCTCAGAAGTTTTCTTGTGTATGAGAAACAGAACTATAGGCCTTTTTGTATAAGTTCCTGTACATCTTGTCCATGCTGTTCTCAAAAACAGGTCGGTGGGATTTTTCTTTAAAGGTGGCTGCCCTGTTAGACCAGTATTCGCCATCATCCAAATTGACAGGACCACATGGCCGTTGTTGATATGAGCTATCAAAAAAGGATAAAAGATGAAAAACAACAGTAATGTTAGAGACAGTACTAGTAAAGTTAAATATTATTGAATACAGGTTTGTGTGACATTCTGCTAGGGCTAGGCAAAAATAAAACACAAATTGTCTTGTGCCTCAAAAATGACAGTCAGAGGTTGAACAACAAGTTGTATGAAACTTAAAAAATCAGAAATTGGTTACCTAAAAGGGTGATACTAGGTATGGGGCATGAAGCCACTGGCAGTTACTGGGAAGATGATTTTAAGGGGAGAAAAAAAACCACCACAATATAAATGAACAAAATATAATCTAAATGAAGGACTGTATAAAACACAGTGTGCATGCATGAAACACAATGTATGTGAATTATAAAAATAATACAAAAAAAATTAAAAAAATGAAATGAAAAATCTACATGAATTTCCGGGAAGAGAGGCGCTGCATGATAAAACAGAATACAAATAATTGGGTATGGTTAGTGTAAGTGCTAACGGCTTCTACACAATTAATCTTCGTAATGACAACGAATCATTTAAACCAGAGCTTTCTTAACTGTGAATTATTGCTTAAAAATAGAATATATGCAAAGTAACTGGTCCAGTTATCTAGAACATAGCAGTTAATAAATATAGGACCCTAAACAAGATACTTCATAAAATGTTTACCCAGAAATCTTACAGATTATCCTCCTTAAAGTTAGAAGCTATAAAAAGAAATGCTCAATGAATTTAAGTTGCCCAAGACAGCTCAATTAGTACACAAGGGAAAGGGAAGGGCAAGCGCATCTGTAGGTAGCTCTATAGGCCTTTCTAATGGCACGCAGCTCTTATGGAGTCGTAAGGCAAACTACAAGCCATTAGTAAAAGCTAAATAATAAGACAGAAAATTCTGAGTGTGAATTAATAGTATGGACTCACGATAGTTTTGAGTCTTAAACAAAGGAGCACACATATTACTAAAATAGATTAGGACTTCTTGTTTTGCGCTATTCTCACAGCTCTCCAGCAAGTTTTCAGAGGGAGTAAATCACGTGGGATTTGGGGGTTTTTTGCTCATCTTTCTTTCATGGAGCAGTTGGTAGATTTAAACTGTGTGCCTGTGAGTTGACGGTGCAATTCCTTACCACTAGGCCATCAGCGTACCCTTATATTATGACTAGTAGGGTTATAATGGAAGAGTTAAGAAAACATTTTTTGAAATCTTGATAATACTTTTCTCAATATACTAAAGTTATAACCTGGGCTAACATATTTATGATAAATATTGACTTCTTCAAAGACTGAGTTTACTTACTTATTTTGTAAATACATAATTAACCTACTTCAATAATTGAAATATTTGTTATAGATTAGGTGTCTGAGAGGGATGATAAGAAGATGAGACCTTAAATTCCCTTCTCTTGACTTCCGTTGATAGAAATCTCAGGGATAGTAAGACGATTTGCTCATCTTTGAAAAGTAAAATTGAATGGAAATGAGTTTTTGGCCTAGGACAAGGTGTGTCTTTGTTTATTCTCTATTTCATTAGCTTTTTCCCCAGTAGTCTCTATTTTAGTAGCTATGTCTTTTTTTCTTCTTCTATATTTGAGTAGCTTCTGCAGTTCAAAATAATTTAATAAAAGACTTTGAAACTCAACAGCTTAAGTAGATATCCAAGAGAAATGAGGATTATAAAGTGATTTCACAAACATGCAAGAATTTTTTCTGTTACCGTGTTTAATTTTTATTGAAGAGACATCCATACACATCTGAGCTAATAAAAAGCTTAGCTGTTAACTTTTCTTGGTAAACTTGAAATGCCAACTTTGACTTAAGGACTATATTTTTCAAAAGTGTAAAATAGTACTTATGATACATTCAACTCTTCTACTGACCAAGTCAACTAAGGAGTCTGTATTTTTAATATGTAATCCTAGTAATTTTTATGTACACAAAAATTTAAGTATCATCACAAAGCCTCTTTCCTTTATCAATTCAACTTACTTCTTACTCAAATTGGAATTTGATATAATGGTACCCATAATAAGAACATTTATCAATATAATAATATTCTAGATAATAGATGTCTAGAAATAAAGGATACAAATTATTTCTTAAGGTATGGCCTTCTCTTTTTCTCTTTGGTTGCTTCTCCTGAAAACTCATCTACAACTGACTAATTACTCTGAAGAAAGGCCAAGCCATCTCTTGCTTCAAACTCAAACTCAAGCTCATTGCCACTGAGTTGGAAATGACTCAGCTTAACCTCCTTTTGAGTTTTCTGAGGCTATAAATCACATGGAAGGAGAATGCACATCTTTCCACTATGAGGTCGCTGGTGGATTCAAACTGCCAGAGAGGCATCCCCTTTGAGTTGGCAATGCAACTCCCAACAGGTTAGGCTAGGAATCTGGGGCCACATTTCTCATCTGTATGAAGTATCTAAAGCAGAATTCCTCAGCATGTTCATAGGTGGTTAGCTATCTTACAAAGGCCGAAAGGAGAGACATGAGTCTCTAACATCAGCTAGTAAAAACACATTCTTAAATAATTCTTAATTGCATAGATTCACAGGTCAGGCAAATATACTAAATCCTTAAGTATAATTATTTTTATATTTATATATAATATATAATAATGTATATATTTTATATTAATTATATTTGTTTTCCTTGAAAAGTTTAAAGGTTAGGTAAATATTAAAATATTTTTATTTCAATCTTGTAACAGGATTCACATGGTTTAAGATACAGAAACCCAGTTGAATCTGACTCAAAGAACCTCTAAACCTGTAAATCTTAACTGGAAGACACTACTTCATCTGTCTCCTGCAGAGAAATCTATTGGTACCAGCCTTAGAAACCTTTCAGTTTGCAGCCTAACACTAATACTAGGTCACCAGGGTTTCATTTTGTTGTGCATAGCATTTTGTTTTGAGTCAAACCAACTCAATGGGAGCTAACAACCACAAGGTGCAGAAATGAACTGCCAATATAAAGGTGCAATAAATCCAGCAGATTAACAATTTCTTTTTATATCAAGCTTTGGTGGCCTAGTGGCAAGAAGCTGCACTGCAATCCCAAAGTATGCAATTGGAGGCCACCAGGTGCTTTGTGGGAGATGGTTGGGAGATCTCTTCCCCCACCATTAACTGCCTCTGAAAACCCGCCAGAGGGTCAGCTATGGGTCTGTTCTGACTCTACAGTAAACAACAACATGAGGACTATATCTACGTACTGTATTAACTAAGCACATACCTATACTCTGGGTCACTATCATAGGCAGAGTCCCTGCAGAAAAGACCTCTTTTCATTTCCAGTTCCTCTTCTTTCTCTGGGTCTCTCTCATCCTGAAATATTTAAATATTTTCATTAATTCATATTCTAAATGTCTCCAAAATGACACTAACATTTCCTTATGTTTCCCCCTTCTTCCATTTAAAAGAAGTTTAATTAAATATTTACATCTCTGAAGAAGGAAACAAAAAGAGTGGATTGTCAATTTATTATTCTGTCACTAATATGAACACTACGCAGTTTTACTAGTAAGCTGTATAATACTTTTGCCAATAGTGCTTATCAATGACTAGGCACCAGGAACTATTTCTTGAATCAACAAATGCATGGGGATGGATTCTGTTTTAACATAAGTAGTGACTATCTCACACAGTGTTATATAATCACAAAAAATCTATACTTGTATTCTCAAATAAAAGCATTTAAGAAAACTATGCAGTCTTGATCATTCTAACAACTATGACTTACCAAGGAAACAACAAAATTATCATAAATTATAGTAAATCACAAAGACAAAATGAAGGCAAGGTAGTTGAAATTAAAATGTGTATTTATTTATGCTTCTACTGGTAGCTAATTATTTTTTTAAATTTCATTATTTTTTGTGTCTGTACTGTCAAATTGGATCTGACTGGTACAGGAGGATACTGCCCCTCCTTCTCCAGCAGAGCATCTGGTGGCTTTGAACCAAGCGCCTCTGAGTTTGTAGTACAGCTTCTTGCCACTAGGCCACCAGAGCTCCTTTGGCAGCTAATTCTTAAGACACAAGAAAAATAATTTTGAACAGAGATAACTTTGCAAACTATATGTCATAGTAATGAAATGCATGTATTAATTTTATAAAATTTAATAGCAAATATCTTTCTCAATTCCTAGGCAAAGTCTTGGTTCCTGAGCCAAACAAGAACAGCAAAGATATTATTATAAAGGAATTAGTAAATATAAATGAATTGCTGTAAAGATCATTATTTATAGAGAGTTTATTCACACAATATATTTTAAAAACCCACTGAATAGGATTATAAAGAAAATTTATTTGAAAATTTTGCTGTCAGCATGAAACAGAGAAGACTGCATCCAATGTAAAAATCTGAACAATAATTAAGAGAGCAAGCTTAAAATACATCTCAAAAATGTCCAAATATATTTAAAATCATTATGGTATCATGTGTACTAAAACTTTTGTTATTACAGAGTAACTGTTAACATTTGAACTTTGGTACCTTAACGTCTATCTACTATTAGAAGAGGTTGTGGAACTAGAGACATGATTGCCAATGTCAGATGGATCTTGGCAGAGAGCAAAGAGTATCAGAGGGATATCTGTGTTTCAATGACTATGCAAAGGTATTTGACTGTGTGGATCACAACAAATTGTGGTTAACCTTGAGAAGAATAGGAATCCCAGAACACTTGATTGTGCTTATGCAAAACCTATATTTGGACCAAAAAGTCAACCTCAGAACAGAGCAGGGAAGCACTGCATGGTTCAAAATCAACAGGGGAGTGTGTCTGGGATGAGTTCTGTCTCCATACTTTTTCAATCTATATGCAGAAAAGAACATTCAGGAGGATGGATTTTATGAGGAGGAATGTGGCATCAGGATTGAAGGAAGATTCGTCAAGAACCTACGTTACGTACATGACACAACCTTGCTTGCTGAAACTGAGGTGGACCTGAAGCGCTTTGCTGAAGAAGACCAAGGACTGCGGTTTTCAATATGGATTGAAGCTCAATATTAAGAAGACAAAGATTCTCACCACTGGATCAAATGGCAGCACCATGATGGATGAAGAAGAGATTGAGTTTGTTAACAGTTATAGCTTGCTCTACTCAATCAACCTTTTGGCACCAGAAGTCAGGAAATCAAAAGGTGAATTGCAATAGGTAAATCAGTTGTCAGGGACCTTTCCAGAGTTTGAGAAACAATGATGGTAGTCTAGAGACTAAGGTGAACCTGATCCAGTCCATGGTCTTTTAATTTAATTGCTATGGATCAAAGAGCCGGATAATGACTGAGGATGACAGAAGAATAACTGATGCCTTTGAGTTGTGGTGTTGGAGAAGAGTTTTGAAAATACTATGGACTACCAAGAAAACAAATAGGGCCATCTTTGAGAGGGTGAAACCAAGTTTTTTCTCCTTGGAGGCTAGAATTTTAAAGCTCCTTCTCACATACTTTGGGCATGCAGCTAGGAGGGACTGGTTCTTGGAGAAGGTCATCATGCTTGGAAGGATGGAGGGAAAGCACAGGAGAAGAGGAAGACCCTGGATGAGATGGATTGATACAATAACTATGGGCAATGGGAGTAGGTATGTCAGAGGCAGTGAGACTGGCTCTGGACAGGGCAGGCTTCAGAGCTTTTGTACATAGGGTCTCTACGAGTCGCAGGCAACAAAACAATAGCTATCACTATAGCTAGAACAGCTTTCTGGTTCTTAGTGATTGGATGGCAAGACTTGTCTTCTATTTTCTATAGTGAGGTATTATGTTTTGCATCTCTTTTCTTTTGAATAGCATATATAATTACTCTTATTAGGTGTTATTGAGTGGGTTCTGACAAAGAGTGACTATAAATGCAAATTAAGGAAACACTGCTTGGTTCTGTGCCATCCTTATTGTTGCTACGCTTAAACCCACAAATTATAACAGTAATTAGGCTTTTTGTTGATCTTCTACTTTACTAAGCATGATGTCTATCTTCTTAGAACACACTCAAAGTATGTTAGACAAAGTTTCACCATTCTCACTTCTAAGCAGCAATCTGTACTTCTCCCAAGACACATTTGTTCATCCTCCCGGAAGTCCGTGTTATATATTCAGTATCCTCTGTCAACATAAAAACTCAAAGGCACTAACTCTTCTTTGTTGTTTTTTACTAATGGTCTAGCTTTAGGATGTATATGAGATTAAAAGTAACGTGTAACGTGTAATCCACCAACCCAAAGAGAGATAGTTGGAATCCACCAGCTGCTCCAAGGAAGAAAGATGGGATATCTCTTCTCATGAGATTCACAGCCCCTTAAAAATCTTCTGGAGGGTCAGCTATGGGTTGGTTACAACTCGATGACAATGAGTTGAGTTTATGTGTTGTGTAGGGCTTACTTCAGCCCTTTAAATGACATTTTAGCATTTTAATACTTTTAAGAGGTGTTTTGAAAGAAAATTGCCCACTATAATAAATCATTTGAATCATTAATTCAAAAATCTAAATAATCTTGTTCTAAGAGTGTTGACTGTAGATCCAAGTAAGTAAAATAAAATTCTTGATAACTTCAATGTGTTCACTATGATGCTGCTTAATGGTACAATCATGAGGAATTTTGTTTTATGATGAAGAACAAAGCTGCAAGACAGACAACAATACCAAAACTTACTATAAGGCTACAGTAAGCAAAACAGTGTTGTACTAGTATAAGGATAGCATGTAGATAAGTGAGATCAATTTAAAGTCCAGGAATATATTTATACAAATAAGATCAAAGGGTTCAAAGAAAATTCAATGGGAAAAAAAAATCACAACACTCGCTCAGCAATGAACTGAACTGAAGAACAAATTGAAGCTCCAAGTTGTAATACTTAAGGAAGCTGTTAGCAGAATGTTGAATGTCCCAGGAATCATCAAAAGATGATAGAAGGAATACACAGAGTCACTATACCAAAAAAGAACTGGCTGACACAGAAGAATTTAATGAAACAACATATGATCAAGAGGCAATGGTGATGAAGGAGGGAGTTCAAGCTGCTCTGAAGGAATTGATGGCATACCAAATGACAGTAAACGGATGCTGTCCTGGATGCACTCACCAAGTTGTGCCAAGAAATCTGGAGGACTACTACTTGGCCAACTGACTGGAAGAGATCCACACTTGTTTACATACCAAAAAAAAGGTGACCCAACAGAATGTGGAAATTATTGAACTGTGTCATTAATATCACATGCAAACAATATATAGCTGAAAATTATCCTAAAATGGCTGGAACAGCACATCAACAGAGAACTGCCAGATATGCTGGCTGGGTTTAGAAAAGGTAATGAAACTAAGGATATTATAGCCAATGTTAGATGGATCTTAGCTGAAAGAGAAAGTATCAGAGAAATATCTGTGTTTCATTTTCTATGAAAAGATATTTGACTGTGTGAATCACAAAAAAAACTGTGGCTAATGCTGAGAAGAATCAAAATCCTAGAACAGGGATATATCCTATCTCCACAACTTACCAAATTATATGCAGAACAGATAATCCAGGAGTCTGGGCTCTATGAGGTGGGATGTGGCATCAGTCAGAGGAGGACTTATCAACCACCTGTGTTATGCAGATGATGGATAACTGCCTTCAATATGGATTGAAGCTCAACATTAAGAAAACAAAGATTTTCACCACTGGTCAACTGTCAGCATCATGATAAGATGGTGGAGATTTAGATTGTTAACAGCTTCAGCTTGCTTGACTCCCCAATCAACACTCTTGGTATTAGCAGCCAGGAAAATCTGTTGTCAGGGAGTACTGAAGAGAAAAGATGTCAGGACAGTCTATACACTGATTCAGGCCATGGTCTTCACAATTACTTGCTATTCATTAGAGAGCTGGACAAAGGATGACTAAGATAACAGAAGAAGAATTAATGCCTTGGAGTTGTGGTGCTAGAGAAGAGTACTGAATATAACATTAACTGTTCGGAGAACGAGCCCTGGATAAGACTGAAACCAGGCTGCTCCTTGGAAGCAAGGATTTTGAATTTTTGTTTGACATACTTTGGGCATGTTGCAAGGTGGGACCAATCCTTAGAGAGGGACATTATGCTTGGAAGGGTGAAGGGAAAGTATAAGAGAGGAAGACTCTGGATGAGCCAGATTGACTCAGTGACTGGGGTAAATGAAGGTAGGTGTGTCAGAGACAATGTGGTTGGCTCAAGATAGAGCAGGGTTCAGAGATGTACATAGGGTTGCAATGGGCTGCAAATGACTCAACACTACATAACAACAGTGCTGAGAAAACAAAAGAGAATGAGGTTGGACCTATCCTGCAGCTATAAAAGAAATACACAG